GCCCCTGATGTTTGTGTCAGCGATGATACTCTGACGAAGGAAGACCAGGCGAGTGAGGCAGGAAGGAGCGTTTGAGCCTCACGCGCTCATTTAAAAGAAAGAGTCCAGTGGACCGGACAGTGATGGTGGGCTGCAGCCCAAATCAGGGAAGGCACCAGCCAAGAGTATAAGGATGACTGTATGGTGTTTGGCTAGTTTCAGTTTTCGAATTAGTTCAGTCCCTATTTCCATTTCTTGTATCTGTCTCTGACCTTCCCCTTCCCCAAGTCTATCTCTCTCTCTCTCTCTCTCTCTCTCTCTCTCTAGACTCAATTCTCCAATGTATCCCAAATTATCTTACCTACAGTGAAGTTGTGATCCTAATCGGGTTTGGGATATCACAGTTTGTAACCACAAGGATAGTGATGGTTTAGTGGACAAGATGTTATTGCTATACCACAAGCAGTGTTTAAGCCTTGAGTAGGCAATTGGCGTGCAGCTGTTCTGCAACTGATGCTTCAAACATGTTATGCTTTTTGCTAAGCTATTTTAGTTGCTGTCGCGTGATTTTTAATACCGTTTAGGTAACTGAACCTTTTTGGTTGGCATATCTTAGAATCATGAATATATCAGATATTAGAGACGACTGCCAGATATTGGCAAAGCTTGCACCCCGCTCGGACAAAAGCCTGCCTCCCCCAATCCTCATAAGAGCAAATAAAATCCATCGAACTAAAGTACAACAGGAGTAGATGAACTATATCAAAAAATCAGCAGACATAAAGCAGCATCCACATGGTAATACTCATAGCCTGTGCTTGTACGAGCATACAGACTACAGAATTTTGATAGACGCGAGCAGCCTCACATCGACATCGACATCACCAAATTGCTCCGATTCCGGTCACTAGTACGACTTCGCCACAAGGCCAGTAAACTGGTAGGAAGCGAGAATCGGGAATCCACAAACCTTGCGCTTAGTAAGCGAGAGCCTGTCGGCGATGGAGGCCTTGGGCGGGCGGAACCCCATGGCGGCGGGGTCCTTGGCCCTGTTGAGGCCGAGATCCTCGACGACGGCGCGCACCGCCTCCCCCGGGAACAGATCCTTGGGCCGGGTCGCGCCCCCGGCGACTGCGGCGGCCAGCCTCTCGCGCGCCTCGGCCGCGAGCGCCCGCTCCGCCGCCGTGGGGTCCCTCCCGCCCCGCATCTCCCCGGCGGCGGCCAGCACCATGACGATCTCCGCCACCCGCCGCATCCCCGCGCCGTCGTCCGCGCGCCGCCGCTTCGCCGGCGCCGCGCGGGGCGACGCCGCCGCGGCGTCCCCCATGGCCGCGCGAGGGGGGTCCCGGAGCGAAACCCTAGGCGGGCCGGGCGGCAGAGGGGGCGCCCCGAGGAGGCGCTGGGGGCGGAAGCTCCCGGGGAATTCAAATGGCGCGCCCGTTTGGCGCTTCAATTAGACGGGGGTGGGGGTGGCGGTGAGATGGGCGAAGCGGAGGAGAAGTTTCGGTCGGGGGAGGCGGGGCGGGGGCGATGAGAGAGGGGACTCCCTTCTAGTCGAGCACCACACCAGCGGAGCACGCAGAGTTTCCGTCGGCTTTTTTATCTGAGCCTTTCTCTTCTGCGTGGGGATTTCTCGGAGCGGTGCGGTGGGTTGGTGTGTGGGGTACTCCGGGGTCCGGGTCCGGGGGCAGATGGACGGCGTGGATGACAGCGGAGGGTTTGGAAGGTCATGTCGATGACGTTGGTTTGGCTTTTCTGGGATGACGCTGGTTTCTTTTTCCTTTGTTTCTTGAACCCGTTTACGAGGCGAACGTTCGCTGAGAAGAAATTGCCGGCGAATGACCCGGTTGTTATGCCAAAATAACTAAAATTGCCATGCATTTTTTAGGGACTTCCCATATATGAAAAGAAAATTGTCATGTTTAGGGGGGAAAAGCCAGCGGCGTAGTGTAATTCTTCTAGAAAAAATGTTATGTGTTTGACCACAATCCAATGACTTTAAGGTCGTTCGCTAGGAGCTCCCTCCCAGTGAACATTTGCCATTTAGATATACCTTTGGGGGATGGCCTTATCAAACTACTCAGCTGGAGGAGGCCTGGGCTCATAGTGGGCTAGGACTCGTCAAACTAGAGCCTTTGGCTTGTTTAGCATCAAGTCTTTCTTTGTTAGAAAAAAATATATATGATACCTTGATAAAGAAATAATATTGTTTTGTTTAGTAAATATCAAGGTGGCTTAACTACTGAAATGAAGATCCCTATATCTCAAAAAACTCTTCTGATTTTCTCACTCAAACAGGCCCGAGGATTTAAAGACGATTAAAATTACACCATTGTTGCCCACCTATCGGGTGTCACCTGCAAAACAAACAACCGACATGAACTTGGTGCACTCATTATTTCAGATCTGTTTTCCAAATCAACTCATTATACCGTGTTCATGCACACAATGTTGAGATTGCCAAAAATAGCTCAATTACACGGGATATTAGATTTACCAAAAGTGTTCTTGGCATAGTCATCTATCCCGCGCCGCCGCCCAACGTCAAAGACATCACCGGCGTGCGCCCGTTTGCAAGAGATAGATGGGGGAGGGAGGGAGCGAGGATATATGGGAGAAAAAATGAGATGGGCGGTGTACCTTGATCTAGCCGTTGTCCATTGTTCCAACTCGGGGGGTGCCATGTCAGGAGAAATCAAGATGGGAGGGTCGGAGGAGGTCAGATCTGGAGAGATCGAGAGGGGCATGGTAATTGAGTCATCAGACAGAAGGAACGGGGGAGGGCTTTGATCTGCTTTAGTGGAGGGTAGGAGGTAATTGAGCGAGTGGGTGTGGTTCGCTCCATCCTGCACATTTTGTCAGCTCCGCTCGACCACTGTTTCAGGGATATTTTAGGAATATTGGATACCCCAACCTTCCACATCCCTCTTATCCCCAAACCAAATAGATGGCATTATCCCAATCCGAGGGATAGCTCATAAAGCAGATGCACTCATAAAATAGGATTTTTATCGCTCGACTGAAAAATAATTGGATCAAACATATATTTAACCTCCTTCAAGTACCCTTGTTTGTTTATTTCTCATGGAATAACATTTTAAGGGAGAGGAACCAGATAAAATAACCTCTGACTCGGTTTCAAAGGCTTTGTGAATTGGCATTTTTATTGTGGTGTGGAAATTTCGTCCTCCAAGACCCTTTCAAGGTCGGGCACTCGTGTACAAGTTGATAAAACCATGCCTATGTCATTATGCATGGAGGCTCACGCAATACAGTAGTCGTTACGTTGTCCCCTCTCTCCCCTTTCATCGTGTTGCGCCACTGGAGGAGGACAATTTCCGTTTGGCAGACAACAAACAATGGGCTTGGTTTCTCTTCTGGAAGGTGCCACTCACGATGGAGTTGTTGGATTTCTCCGAAGTGGAAGGGTGATGTAGCACAACAGTAGAAAGTATTTCCTTCAGTTAAGAACCAAGGTTTATCGAACCAGTAGGAGTCTGTAACACCCCGGTGTAATGATGCTACAGTAACCCCTGGGGTTAAGTTAATCTTTTTGCTAAACATGTGCCTGATCATTATTATCTCATGTTTCTTTCAACTTACCCTTTGAATGCAAATTCAAATGCTAAGTGAAATGCAAAATTTCTCAAACATGAAAACAAAAATGTTCATCATGTGCCAAATATTCCAGAACTAATATTGGTGGTGAACCAACATTTTTGCAAAGGGTTTAAGTGGCCTAAACTACTTATAACAATGACCTAAGCAATAAATTAAATGCCCTTTTTAATTTATAAAATTGGCAACTTTCCAAAAGCCTCCCAACCTTTTTGTGGCAGTGCACTTTAATTATTTGAAAATGTTTTGGCTAGTGGCATAATTCTGCAAAGTCATTTTTGGCTAAAAAGAAAATGCAAAAGCTGCTGAAAATAAAAAAAATAAAAAAATAAAAAGGAAAGGCAGGGGAGAGAGAGAAGTGCCCCTGCCCCTGGGGCCAAGCCCACCTAGGCCGGCTGATGAAGCTATGTACCTAGGTAGGGTTATGGATCTGTCCAAGATACCCTCCCCAAGAACATCTCTAAAGGAGCCGGAAGCACTCGAAGAAAAATCATCATCCACTCGACCATGAAGCTATGTTCCACTCGACAGTCTCGAGGACACTCGACCGTATGGACAATCACTCGACTACCAGAAGATCTAGAGCCACTCCATTCTGCAACGGTTGGGAATTAAGTCATAGCTTTAATGGTCATTATGTATCTTTATTGCAGGCGTTACCAGTAACGTCCCCCTCTTTATGTACCTTACACCCTTTGTAACTAAGGGCAGGAGGAGTCTGGTGAACTCTATATAAGCCACCCCCGTCCTCAGGGACAAGGGTTCGACCCCCTGTAACATACACGCATATAATCCGGTCGACCGCCTCCGGGCTCCGAGACGTAGGACTGTTACTTCCTCCGAGAAGGGTCTGAACTCGTAAAACTCGCGTGTACAACTCTTCCATAGCTAAGATCTTGCCTCTACATTCCTACCCCCCCCCCATTCTACTGTCAGACTTAGAACCACGACAGTTGGCGCCCACCGTGGGGCAGGTGTCTTAGCGACTTGTTGGAGAAGTTGTGATTTTTCCGATCCCCATCAACATGGTTTCAGGCGGAGGTTTGGCCAAGGGCCACGAGATCCGTCTCGGTGCGCTCGTATTCATCGCCGACGACTTCGCTGGGCTCCAGGAAGCGCCACTCGACGTCGAGGCGCTCCCCGTCCGCGGGGCAACGCACTTTCGCGCGTGCGTCCGTGGCGTCCTCTTACGGCAGCCGTCGACTTAGTATCGGCGGGCTCCCGTGCCGACCTCCCTCCCTGCAGCCCGCCAGGGCAAACGTTCCGGTCGGTCGAGGCTTCAGCGGTGGGTGAGGCACGCGGTGGCTCGCCAATTGGCCACCCCCAGGTCGCGGCAATCGAGCTCGACGAAACTCTTTATGGCCTGTTCGACCTGTCGACTGGCTCCATAGAGATGGCATCCGAGTGCGACATCAGCGACCCCACGACGGAAGTTTTGATGGTCAATGGACCACGTAGTCCTCCTGGCTTCACCCGTGAGGACGGAGGCGATGGTGGCGGCGATCCGTCGCGTGTACACGAAGAGTACTGACCCGAACCCCTCTCTTCACAGAGGAGGGAGGAACTTCAACGCCGGAACATGGATGCGCTTCACACTCCTATCGTTGGAGAAACCCCTGAGGCCCAGGCCTTGGAGGAGGCACGCCTGGCCAACTTGGCTGAGCGCACTCGACTAGAGAACCTCCAGCGCTCACTCGACGAGCGTGCTCGGCAGCGTGCTCCCGAATCGAGTTGATGTCAACTTTTTCCGCCTCCGACTCAGGTACCAAGCTCCAATCCAGAATCTCGCAGCTGCGGCCCGAATAGCGGAGTCAATTCAACCTTCCCAGTCAGAAGCTGGTCGAGGTTTAGTGCAGAACTGGGCTTTGATCCGAGCCGCGGGAGAGCAGAATACAATAGTATCTCAGTCGCGGAATAGGATTCACAGCAGATCCGTGGTTGCAGACACAGTCCAGTCGGCTTACAGCCCAAGATCGCCCCCGAGGCGTGAGGGACGTGGAGACCAACGAGATCAGTACAGAAACCATGAGCAGTATGATCACCGACTCGATCACGATGATCGTCGTCGAGGGCCCACGCCTCCCCTAAGGAGTGGATCATACATGCCTCGGCAGCAGGATGACAGACGCCCTCACAGTGGTGGGCGAAGGATTCCAGTCGACCCTAGGGAACCGGGCTTTGATGCAAGATCTATTCTTGTTCAGGGTCTGGTCGACAGAAATAGAGCTCACAGAGAAGGCCCCGACAGAGATTTTCCAACCAGCAGCAGAGTGCATGTCTCAGGCCCAGAGTGCTTCAGTAGAGCCATCAGGGCTACGGTGATTCCTCCCAACTTTAGGTTGGCGACTTGAGTCAGTAAGTTTACTGGTGAGTCCAAGCCTGACACTTGGCTTGAAGATTACCGAGTGGCTGTACAGATCGATGGCGGCAACGATGAAGTGGCCATGAAGCACCTTCCTTTGATGCTAGAGGGCTCGGCCAGGGCGTGGCTGAATCAGTTAGCTCCTGGTAGTATTTATACTTGGGAAGATCTTACTCGAGTATTTGTCAGAACATTTGAAGGTACTTGCAAGCGGCCAGCAGGGTTGACAGAATTACAGTGTTGCGTTCAGAAACCGAATGAAACTTTGAGAGATTATATCTAGAGATGGATCATGTTGCACCACACATTGGAGAATGTGTCAGATCACCAAGCAATTTGTGCCTTCA